CATTGGTCATGTGTGTTGTGCCTCAAAGTCCCAGGACAAATAAATCGGTTGTATGGATATATTAAGAAAGGGATGGAGGCACATCACTTGGTACCCCAGGTCACATTCAATTTTGTTAAACTTTGCTGTTTTCCAGTTTCCACCTGGTGGTAAAGCATAACCCAATAGTCTGAGAACTATCCTGCGATGTACGATTAAGGCTACGTTCACACTAGCGTTGTGTGCAGGCAGCAGAGAGGCGTTTGAGAAGTGTTTTTACCGCTTCACAAACGCCTCTGCCAATTCTGCACATTGCAGCACATGATGCTGTTCTAACGGGAGCGGTATCGTCGCAGCAAAATGGACGCCTCTGGTCGAGTCAGGAGGCGTTGAAGCCTCCTATTCTAACCTATAGTGCCGCTCTGCAAATGCCCGGCCGGCATTTGCGGTGCGGTAACACCATTCAAACTTCATTATAGGCGTTTGTGGGGCGTTTTTAACATTTGGCAAACGCCTAGCAACCGCCGCTAAACCACGCATGCGGCGTTTGCGTAGCATTTGCCGAGCTTTGAAAAACGCTCCACAAATGCCGGACCAACGCTTGGCAAACGCTATAGGGGCGTTTGGCAAGCATTGGTAAAACAGCCAAGTGTGAACGAGCCCTAAGAAATACATGCTGCGCACATTGACATTTTGGTAGAAGCCCATGCACCATGATCAATTACGTCTGTTTTAGGCCAACTATAGCTATTTACATCTCTCAATCCCTAATCTAAGTTGGCATTCTAGGACTGGTGGGACGACAAGATAATATACCTTTTCAGTACTTCCAGTCTTCTGCCTCCTGGCAAACTGCTACTTTCTGAGTAGCAGCATTGATTGGCTATTCAGGGAAAGGCACCCAATCAGAGCAGTTTAACTACTCACCTCCAACTTTACAGGAAGATAATGCATATTGTCTAAGCTGCCTACATCTTACAATATAGTGATAGTTTTGGCATGCAATTTTTAATGAAGGAAATTCCTGCTTATATAAATTTTCATAAACTTTAAAGTATAAGTTCACATTTTCACAGAAAATAAAGGTGAACACCCTACACCAGGGGTGGGCAACTGTGGCCCTTTAGCTGTTGTAGATCTACAAGTCCCATGAGGCACTGCAAAACTGACAGTTACAAGCATGACTCCCAAAGGCAGGGGCATGATGGGACTTGTCACCAACAGCTGGAGGGCCACAGTTGCCCACCCCTGCCCTACACCCTCCCCTCGTCCCTACTGCACTTACCTCCATGGGTGATTAACAATCACTGCCCATGCAGCTGAAGCAATGCTTTGGGGATTAGAAAGCCATGTCCTTCTTCCCAGTCTTGCCTTAGGGCATCCCAGACCAATCAGAGCGATTCTGAGTGGTCTTTTGCTGGCACCAATCAGAATCACTAGACAGAATGGTAGATCTTGGGAGCAAGACCTTGTTCTTGTGAATGCGGAATGAATCGTTTCAAGTGAGAGATGCAAACTAAAAAACACGTCTGACAGACACGATCACAACCAAGGAGGCCATTTGGCAGGAAAGATCATCTAAAAGAATTTCCCTAAAGAAACCCTGGTAGTTTCTGCAGAGCAGAGAGAACCAGATTAAAGTTTCAAGGAAGCACAGTGTGCTATAAGAGCCCTGATCCGAGATACACCTTGAATAACGCTTTCGAAAAAGAAAGCAAGACCAGAGGTTTTTGAAAAAGAATGAACAAGGCCAATACCTGCCCTTTCAGAGTGCTTAAGGCTAAAAACTTCAAGTTCTGCTTGTGGGAAGGCCAGAATGCAAGGCACAAAGTCATTTCTGAAACTGAAGTGCCTGTGTTCACACCAGGCAAAGAGGGATTTCCAGATATGATGGTAAACCTTCCTGGAAGTGGATTTTCTAGTTTTCAGCAAAATAGTAAAGAAAGACTCAGACTTCTCTGTCCTAAAACCTGGGCTTCAACAGTCATGCCATTAAAGCCAAGGACAGAGAAGCAGGATGGAAGAACCTGAGACAGCAGGTGTGGCCTGTTGGGAAGAGGCCAGCAGTCATCTCCTAGTATACCTGTGTATTAGGTTCATCTGGGCCAGTGTTATGCAATGTGAATCATCTGATTTTTTTTTTTCTATTTAGTGGAGCAGGAAAGGTAGACTTCACATTGGAGGGAAGGCATAGCTTGAACTGAGACCAGGGGACTATCAAGGCATACAATGCCAGTGCCAGAGGATCCTTAGCATGTTGCTGAGTCTGGCGGTCAGGATATCAATGTTTGGGGTCCCCATCTCTGACATATCAGGTTGAAAATGTAGGAGTGAATGGTCAATTCCCCTTGGTCCAGGCAGCAGTAATCTATCTTCTAGTTGTCTACTCCTGGGATGTAGCCGGCGAGATCGCTGGACAGCATATCTGTCCACGAGATGACCTGGCTTGCTTCCTTCAAGGCTGCAAAACTCTTGGTGCCACCTTGGTGGTTGATGTAGGACACAGATATCGTCTTTGACTGCACCCTGATTAGGTGTCTTTTGCAAAAGAGGAGTCCAGTGTCGCAGAGTCACCCATATGGTTCTAAACTCTAGGATGTTGGTGGGGAGCTAGGCTCCCACTGATGACCATGCTCCTTGAACTGTATGGGACTGGAACACTCCTCCCCAGCCTGAAAGTCAGGTATCTATCGTTATTACTTTTCAATAACAAATAAGGTATGACTTCTCCAATGTTAGGGCTTGCCTGGAGATCCACCAAGCTATAGCATTCTGTATAGCTTGGGAGCATGTATAGGTCAAGAGAAGTATCATGCTTGTTCTATGCCAAAAAAAATGTTGTGCTGGAGAGGTCTCAAATTAAAATGTGCGAATAGAACAGTGTGGAATGGGCTACCTTGAGACCTCGAACTCTCAGAGAATCTCACAGAGATGTCCCTCACATCCTGAGCGTGAGCTTTGAGAGAAAGCAGTTTCTTTTCTGGAAGGAATACCCTTTGCTTGGATCAGATCTAAGTATTCCAAGGGAAGAGAAGGTCAGACAGCAGATTTTGGAAGATTATCACCCAACCGAAAGCATCTGAATTTTTTCGTGGATGTTTGCAGATAGCTGAAAAAGAGATGGCTCCTTCAGAAGGAGGTAACCTAGATAACCTGTGACTTAACGTGCAAAGACTTTTGTGAATACTCTGGGAAGAGAGGCAAAGACAAATGTCATTGCACCAAATGAAAGCAATTATCTCTTACTGCAAAGCATGGTTGAAGTGGATAAATGGGAATATGCAGATAGTCATCATGAATGTCTTTGGGTGCCTAGTGTTCCCCTTGTTTCTGAGAAGCAATAACTCGCCTTGAAGATATCATGCTAAATTTTGAAATCTGAAGGTATCTGTTGAGGGATTTTAGGTCCAGGATAGGACAAATTCCCCCACTGGGCTTGGGAACGTGAACAGAATCCTTTAAACCTGTTCTGTAGGGGTACTGGTATAACTAGTCCATGGGACAAGAGAAGGTTCAAGGCATTTTGCAAATATGACTGGTTGATCTGAGAGAAGAAAAAACGGTGATAGAGTTTAGAACTCTACTTTGCCACCGGTTGAACCCACAAGTCTAGGACGTCTACGACCCAGAGAAATGCTAACTGTAAATCGACATTCCCCCACTCTTAAGATGGTTTTGGAGAAGACCTGGTGGGCTTTGTAGGCCATGTCTTACACTGAAAGGAAAGGAAAGTTTTGAAATGGAAGGCTGGGTGCAGCACCCAGGTGCTCTGCATTTTGAAAAGTTAAGAGGCTCCCGAGGAGGGGGTTTTGAATTTTCCTCTGTGGAAAAAAACAAACAGTCTTCCTGTTGAATATGTGATGAGTTTGTCAAGCGCTTCACAAAAGAGCCATCCTCTTTCAAGGGGCATAAGTGTGAAGCGCCTTGTACAGGCAGCTTCAGCTGACCAGACTTTCAGCAATTTTCTGTGCATGTGAATGGAGATTAGAGCCACTTTTGAAATTTGTTTCATTACATGTTCTAGGGAATCTACACAAAAAAGGACAGGAGGTATTTGCTGTAATTGCTCAGTTAAAGCATGGTCATGGAATACAGGATTGTGTTGGGCGTTTATTGCTCTAGTCCAGTTTGCTGCAATTTCTGTCTGTCAAATTGCAGCTATAGCTGGTTGCAGAGCAGGGACTGCAAGTGTAAACAGGGCCTTTAAGAGCATCTTAAATTTCCTATCCGCAGAATCTTTGTCCACTGAAAAAAGTTCTCAAAGTTGTCTGTACCAATTAGACTCATTCAGTTCAGTAAAGATTTTTGGGGGAGTGAAAATTTTTCTGGATTCACCCAATTCTCATAAATTTCCTATTCTATTTATTAACATGGACAGTCTTTTTAGATTTAGTAAATCTCGCTTTACCCAAAGGGGCATGGTGAGACAGGGGAGAGTCAAGTGTGACAATGCCGAGGTTTTTGCACATAGCAGAAGTGAGCATATTCACATTAGCAAGCTGGTTTACAGGGGACTGGGAGTGAGAAATCCTCTGCAGCCTCTTCTGCCTCCGAGTCCTCTTCATTCCTTGTTATGTATTCCTCTTTCGGTCAGTGGCCATGCAGGATCTAGTTCCTGAAACATTACAGGCCATCCCCAGTGTGTGCTCAGGGTATGGCTCCCAAGGTTTTACTGTGGTTATACTGATCTGGATGCACGGTTTCTATTGTTTTATTAGAAAACCCTGAAGAACTGATGGAAGAAATCGGACGGTAAAATAATAAAGTAATTAATCTAAGAGTGATTTCTTCAGAAGAGGTCCATTACCTTAGGACACTAGCAAAAAACCGAGAACTCCTAAAGGGGCATGTTCTCAAAAGCTTGCCAGTGTCCCCTGAATGTACCAGCCCATAACCAAGGATCTGTGAATACTCATCCTGGGTCCTGTACTAAACGATTGAAATATGCTCCTCCTCCAAGTGGCAAGTTTTAAACTCTGCTGGTAAATTTCAGGAATTAACAGTATACTTATTAAAAATACCTTTCTGTGCTTTTAGCGTCTGTTCTTCGATTTGTCGAAGGCGTTCAATTAACTCATCCTTTTCGCGTTCTATTCTCTCTTTTTCCTTTTCAGCTATTTCTCTTTTCTTCTTTTCATTTTCTAACTGTGCTCTAGAGAGGAATAAATGTGCCCAGTCAGGTAAACAGAACATATAATCAATGATAATTTACTAAATGTGCTTCTAAATCTCTGGCAAATCACAAAACTTTATAAGTTTCAGACACCGCTAAAACACAATGCAACTATTAAAAGTTCAAGTTCCCCTCTGAACAAGTCTTCTAGACCAAAAATGCCACTTACACAAGAAAAAAATAAAGGGTTGTTTATAGTTAAGCTGTGAGAATTGGGAAAGGTTAAAGAGGCACTGTTACTGTAGCAATTGAGGTCAAATTGACAGTCTGTGCATAATCCACCCCCACCATTTAGTTACCTGTCTAGTGCTTCCCTGCTGAACCTTTTTCATCACAGCGACCACCACCAAATTACCCAGTGTCAGAAGGCAGAGAGAGCAGTGACATTACCCTCACTTAGTCGTTTGCCAGTGCTTAGGCCATGCAATTGGCCACAGACCACTGTATCACAGGGAGGAGGCTATATGCACCTCCGTACCTACAAGCACTGGATATTTTGCCGTGGTGGCCTCAGGAGTGATGTGGAGCAGTGTAGAGGCAAGTATAAAGTTTTTGGGGTTGCATAGCAGAGCAATACAAAGCAGCATGTTTAAATAGTAAAACACACGCAGTACGCATATTAAAACAGCACACAGTTGACCCTTTGATCGCCCCAGATGTTAACCCCTTCCTGCTCAGTGTCATTAGTAAAATGTCAGTGCTTTTTATTATCACTGTTCACTGTATTAGTGTCATTGGGATGTCAGCAGTAGTTAGTAAGTCCCCCCCAGTATCAGAATGCCCGCCGCAATCCCACACTGCCATTACTAGTGTATTAAAAGAAATAAATTCCAGTATATATACCGCCATTTGTAGACGCTATAACTTTCACGTAAACCAAATAATTTACATGTATTGGGATTTTTTTTTTTTTTAGCAAAGACAAGTAGCAGAATACATTTTGGCCTAAATTTATGGCAAAATTTTATTTTAAAAAATTTTCTTAAGGGATATGTTCTATAGCAAAAAGTCAAATATTGGGGTTTTTTTTTTTTCAAAATTGTCAGTCTTTTCTGTTTATAGTGCACAAAAAATGAAAAACCACAGAGGTGATCAATTACCACCGAAAGAAATCTCTATTTGTGGGGAAAAAAAAAGGACATAAATTTCATTTGGGTGCAACGTTGCATGACCAAGCAATTGTCAGTTAAAGTAACGCAGTGCCATATTGCAAGAAATGGCCTGGTCAGGAAAGGGGGTAAATCCTCTGGAGAGCAAGTGGTTAAACTTCTATCAGACTTGGATAATTTGAGCACCTATCTCCTGCCCCCATTTACGGGTGTGACTGTGAAAAGTGAGGGGAAACTTCAATGGGAACCTAGACAGCAAACACCCAAGGTTCTAACCCTTACACAAAACATTCACAACTACTGGAGAGGAAAAAAAAAAAAGCTTTGTCAGAAGTTGGATTTACTCTAGTCAGCTATTTAAATGGTTCACTAATGTAAGGCCGCTTTCACACAATCTGTCCAGCTCGATTCACCTGTCCATTTTTAGGCAGTCCCGATCGAGCCTTCTATTCTCCTCTATGGACAGTCTGATGTAAACAGACTTGTGACCATTTACAGTCGGCTACGTCCTATATGATCCAGCAAAAACAAAAGTAAGGTAATCAGCATCAGAACCCAGAGAAGCTGGTAGACTAGGGGTAATAGAAAGGCATTACAATTAAATTTAAAGTAAAAGTTCACCAGTATTGTCCATTATATCCATGCAAAAAGTCTCAGCCTTTAGTACTACTTTTATATAAAAAATAGATTTTCCCTCCTCCATATATTTTATATATATATATATATATATATATATATATATATATATATATATATACACACACATACATACATACACACACACACTTTTACAGTATAAATTAACCCTTTATAGTAGTGATTATCTGGTATATTTGTATTATAAGTAGCTAATTTGACAGGCGATGAAGGGGGGGGGGGGGGGGGGGGGGGGGGAGGATGCTGCTGCTACTAAAAGTCTTCTGCTGGCCATACACATTGATTTTCAGACAAGAGCATTACTAAGAATATGCATACGAAAAAATTCTTTGTTCATTCGATAGACAAATGCTGTTCAAAAATTTTGCTTGCTTTTAAACTTTCAATTTTAAAATAGATGCAAGTTCTGAACGATAACCCACATATAATATCCAAAAATAGGTTCAATTGAGAAACGTTTACTTTTCTGCTCCTTCGAATTATCCTGTCACTGTGGTAAAAAAACCCAAAAAAAAACTTTGATTTGACCCCACTAACAATTCGAAAATCGAACGCACATTCTTAAAACAAAAATTTTTAAAACGAAAAATTCATTAGTGTATGGTCACCATAAGTGACAGCAGGCACAGGTAGCTTGCATCACGCTACCCACATATGACAAAGGATTCTTTCATGCATAATATTACAGTCCTATCTGATCTGCAAACCAGTTTTAGGTCTTTAATTTCTTTCCTTACATAAAAATTTTGATCGATGAATCTGCTGACGTACCAGAATCAACCTAGTAGTATATACATCTCTTCTATCTGATAATCTCAGAGTGGATTCAATATTTTGTTCCCCCAACCATAAAGCTGGTTATTTAGATTTACCACTGCATATAAATATTAAAAAAAAAAAGTATTTTTTAAACTTTACATATTAACTGAGTTATACAAACTTTTTTTTAAGGTTTTTATCCGATTAACTGAAACAATAAAATCGGTCAACTAATCGATTATGAAAATAATCGTTCGTTGCAGCCCTAGACCAGTCCCTCTGCTAAGAAAGGGATCAGTGGACAGATCCCCCACTGAGAAAACTAGATAAAAACAGATTATGCCCAGTGTGAAAGTGGGCCTAAGGGGGGTTATAACCCAGTCAAGTTTTTTTTGCCATTAGTGGTCCATTGGGGAAATTTCCTTTCACTTCTTGTCCCATAGGCAAAAACAGGAAGTGAGAAGAAATCCCTTCACAATGAGGGAATCACTGGTTCTTTCACTTTTGTTGATAATCGTAAGCATGACATATAGAAAGGGTGAATGTCCCTAAAGGGAGCACAGACTGTGATAAAGACATGACAGGTGTGTTAATCCCTTTCCATTCTATCCAAAACTCCAAGAAATATTAAAGTAGTTCTGTGCATTAAGGCAAACAAACCTTTTGTAACACAGGATACCCCAAGCCATCACCCTCCCACCCACTACTTACATGAGCCCGATCACAATCCAGCAATGTGCCCAAAGGCAACGACTCTCTCCCTCCTCACAGGGCAGTTCGCTAACAGGGGCAGCCTTAGATGTGGTGGCTATATTAGTTTTTTATTAGTTTTATTTTTTGAGGAATTTTTGAGGACTTTGTGATCTATGCACTGGAATTATTTTGCACATGATTTTTTTGTATATACTTGTTTCACAATCGGATACACTTAAAAGGCTGGGAGATATGAATTTTGTTTATAAAATGTGGGTTGTGATGTGATTATAAACAGGAGCGCTGCAAATGTATTTTTTTTTATAATCTTAATATTGTGGTTGGTGGTATACAATTGTGTTGGCTGCTCCATAGCGGGCATATTCTCATTTTGAGTTTTTGGGTAGAGGGGAGAGTTAGACTAGATGATTTGGTTGGACTTGACGAACAAATTGAAACTGAACTCCAGCTAACACTTGAAAAAGCAGTTACTGCAAACTGTTTTTTTTTTCTTTTGGGATAAAGGTTTTACATAAATGGCTAAAAACTGACCATTGTAAGCACCCCTGGCAGTGTAAAATGGTTTGTCTCAACCCTCTAACTGCTACAGATTGGTCTGTTAACCATTAGCCGCCCGGCCAATGGCCGTTTGGCGGCTTGAAATGTGCTCCTGTATTCCGGGTGCACGCCATTTGGCGTGCTCCCGCACATGCGCGGTTTGCACGGTTGCAGAGCAACGCAGCAGTGCGATCTGTCACCGCCCGTGCACCTCGGACACGGCCGATGACAGATCCGAGTACCGGCTCCCGTTGCCGGTACCATGTGACCTGCTGTGACCAATCACAGCAGGTCACATGACAGTTGTATACAATGGATGGCTTCATTCATGATGCCATCCATTGTATACTAGTGCCTAGCTGTGAATGGTCACAGTTAATCACATGCACATGTCATGTGATTAGCTGTGACCAAATCACAGCTAAGCACAAAAAAAAAAAAAAAAAAAAAAAAAGCTGAATGAATCGATTTCATTCAGGTAAATGCTTGCTTATAGCAAAGTAATTCTTTGCTATAAGCAAATTGTGTAAAAAAAAAAAAAAAAAATACTGATCACTTCCCCAAAGTAGTACAATGTTACTATGGTAACATTGTACTATTTTGGTCATAGTAAAATATGAAAAAAAAAATCAAAAAAAAAATCAAAAAAAAATGTAATAAAAAATTAAATAAAAAAATTTAAAAATATATATATATATTTTTTTTTCATACTGTCACCAGTCAGTGTCGCTGTTCACCGCCATGCCAGTTATATGATGACACTGTACTGCACTGGTGACAGTATGAAAAAAAAAAAATAGTGAAAATAATTTTTTTTATAATTTTTTCATTTTCCGAAAAATTATGACAAAAAAAATACAACTTCAAAAAACTGGCCATGCCTCTTATGAAGTACGTCGGACTGTCTACTCTGCAAAAAGGGGTCATTTGGGGGATATCTGTACTGTTCTGACATTCTTGGACCTCAAGATATTAGATTGGCTGTCAGTACTTCAGGATTGATCAATATTCAGATCTATACCATAGTTTGTGAACTCTATAACTTTCCTACAAACTAAAAAATACATCCTAATTTGGGTTATTTTCACCAAAGACATGTAGCAGAATACATCTCGGCCTAAATTTACGAACAATTATTTATTTGTAAACTTTTATAACAGAAACAAAGAAAAATGTGTTTTTTTTTTCAAAATTTTTGGTCTT